GGTATCATAAAGCATGATATCGAGTAAAAAACTTTCATATTGAGATCAAGGCTTTAAGCTTGTCTACTTAGAGTCTACTAAAAGTTAGCACCTACAAATGACATGTCTATACGAAAGAGGCTATATACATTATAGATTTTAAATTTCAAGGTGAAGCATTCAGTTGCTTGTCTTGCAGTCTTGTTTAAAGGATTTCTACAAAACAGTAATCAGTATCATTGTGTTTGGACCATATGTATGTCATAGCTATATGCATGTGTTCAAATGGAAGGTTTGTTGCGTTTAACGCACTAAAAGAATTAGTATCAAAATCCGTTTACTGCGATAACATCATTTTCGCTCATAACTGATCATTTTGGTACTCTGAAAATTTTCTGCCAATAAACTTTTGACCATGCGAATTATGATAGATCGGAGGAGAGAAATACTATGACATATGCAAAGCAGACACAGAAAATAAACATCTTCACCTCTCGGGACATATATATATATATTCATTCACAACTTTTTAAACTCTTCTGCGGTGGTTCTAAATGTCCACAGAGTAATGACATAGAACCTCTTCATTACTTAGTTTATCTTGACTCTTAGTTTTCGTAAGGTGACGATAAGATATTTTGGATTTTGTATTATATACCTGCCCAGGCGGCAGCTGCCACCTTGATGTGATGGTCGCGCTTGCATATCGCAGTGACCCAACGAGTTATGCTGGTTGGGAATAATGTTCCGAAAACGTCATCTGCATAGCGGTTAAACTAAGAGGAGTTACCATCATAGTGTGAGCCATTTTCACCACGTTCTGGTTCTGTGGAAGATGTCGTAGTGCTGGTGAATAGGGATGTAGCAGCAGTAAGGTTTTTCCACCAGAAACCATTAATGCTGTCTCTGCTCTGGATACGGTTGGTTAGAAAAGGCCCACTCTGAAAACAGTACATCCTGAGCCCCCTTGAGGTGATCCGTAGACGGAGGTAAAACCTCCAAAAATCACATCAAACAGGCCGTGTTTGACCGACCTCAAAAGGTTTATCCTAGAGTCACACATCATCAATGCCTCTTCTGTACCAGCTACTCCAAGAAGAAATTGACTTCCAGCCGGGAAGTAACAACCGCGCACACACTTCCTAAAGCACACAAAGCTCTTCTGATTATCACCCACAGTTATCTACATTACCATCATCTTGATTTCCTCCTAATGTTAATACTATTCCACAGCAGGTTCTTCACCTTCACTTAACTCTGCGACCACTTATGGAGATAACAGCCCGAAAAACACCAGCTGAAGTCTCTTAGAACCTCACAGTCAACTTCATATTGGAACACTTAACATCAGGATCCCTCACGAAATAGAACAACGGGCATTACTAGCCAGAACTCTTGCATCTCCAGCCATGGATGTACTCTGTGCTTCGGAGACACTCAAATAGAATCCAAATGCCCTTTTTCACTTAACCCCAACTGGCCAACAGAGTGAATCTGCTAAATTTACCCTGGGGATGTTATGAGACTATTTGGCTTATTCGCGAAGGCTCGCAGGTGTAGGGATAGCATTAAATGCTAAGTTAGAAAAATCCCCAGTTGGCTGGATCTCACTGGATAGTCGCATATGTGCAGTTCGGCCTAACGCATCTTTGAGGAGAAGGAAATATTGCGATAGCCACCAATGTCTTTTCATAATCTCCTCTCACGCCCTAACAGACTGCAGTTCGGCCAAAATAATTAAATGAGTTCTAAGAAAAAAATGTCTAGTTTGCTGCTAAAAGCAGAACACTCATATATGGTCATCCTAGTGGGCATCTTCACTGCTCAAGTAGGGGAGTTGTTCCAGTCTGAGAAGTATATTGGCAGTACCTATGCAGTTCGACGCCGACGAACCAACCATCTTCAACAGTTCTGTCCAGACAAAAACAAGTTCTTGGTCAGCACCAACTTAAAATAGACAGAGTGACATTACCTAGCCTGGTGATCTCCATCATCAGACCAAAGATGAACTCAAACAGACCACATATCAGTAAGCTATCGATAGCGAAGATCAGTGGAAGACTGCAGCGCCTTCCGAAATGTCCGCGTAGACTCCGATCAGGCCTAAGTCTGCGTAGGCATATGCCTACGATTGGATGGAAATAGAAAAGGCATAGTAATGAAGTCATTCCGTGTCCAACATGATAAAGACACTAGATGCCTATTCAAGTAGGAAATAATTATACGGATATTTTAGACTGATAGCGTGACTCATCCTGGGGAAGCATGGCGTAATATCCAATTATCTGTAGAGACTGAGGCAAAGATTGCCGATAACCTAGAACCAAAGGTTAGAAAATGCCAGTGAATTCTTTCTGCTTCATCCCAGCTGACTGACTCAGAAAGATGGAACATTATGGGTAGCGAATGCTGCTCAAGCGCAAACTGGCCAAAAGTTTTCTCAATGATCACTAACAATGGTAGACAGCAAGAGCGACAGAGGTGGAAAACGAACAAACGATACTTAACACCGGAGAGCTATTTAGGATTACCCGGAAAACAGGTAGCAAAAGTCAAATAATGAGTGAAACAATCTCCGCGAAGAATGGCACCATTAATACCTCTCAGGATAGACGATAGGGGTGTTGTAAAGAGCACTTTGAGGATCAGTTCAACTGGTCTACAGTAACGCCCAGCCCATCCACAAGCTAACATCTGCCTGATTGGAATGTTGGCATTGGTCCTCCTCTATAACTGTCACAGAGGCTGTCTCTTATTCGATTAAATGACTCCAGAGGTGTTTAAGTACGATGGTGAAAAACTGTTTTCTGGGTTGACAAATGTATTGGGTAATGTCTAGGAAGCAGAAATAGTTCCGTTAGACAGGTGCAATTCACTGGTTATCTTGGTTTATAAGAAGAGAAACAAGTTTCCTTAAAATAATCACAGGAAGATAAGCTCAACTAATGTAGTATCTCAAGTTCCAGGTTCATTAATCATGCGTAGGCTAATTGGTGCTCGGGAGGCAGGCTTTAGTCCAGAAGGAGGGTACATTAATGATATATCCATCCTTTGGAAGATCCTGGGTTACTGGCGTACTTGTCGGCGTCCCTAACTTACCACATTTGTTGAATAGAAGGCGGAATCTGACTCCGTCGATTGAGAGGTACTGTAGCAACTTTTCACCGTATTGAAAGTGACGAGGAAGTATAGTGAACTAATCAAGGTACCGTGCTCGAATTCATGCAGCTGCTTAAGAACTTATGCAGAGTTGTCCTTTGAAGTGGTAATATCCATCAGTGCCCGCCAGGAATGCTTACTGTCTCTATTTTTGTTTCATTTCGTCACAGATGTACTAGTGTAATTGCCCTTGACTGAATCTGGTGACTTATGCAATTATTTCTTTTCAGAGGACAGTCTTAAAAACCTCGAGTATGCGGATGAAATTGTCCTCCGACCCGAGGACTCTGATTAGATGCAGGGGCTTCTGAACACTTTGAGCGGAAATCTCCAAACGTTTGGCAGGTAGTTTTTCCCGATCAGATGTAAGATGATGCCGCAGGATTGGACTGTACTGACTGCCACCTCAAAGATAATAAGTACAGTGACAACGAGTGCTGATCTCTTCACTTATTTGGGAAGTTGTATCAGCCTTAATGCACTGATTTATGATGAAATTACCGCACAGATACAAATAGCTCATGTTGCATCTACCAAATGACGTCATCTCTGGAGCAGACGTGACTTCCAGCTATCAGTCAAACGATGGATATACTGCTTAGCAGTTCGCTGTGCCCTCCTTTATGGCTGTGAGACATAGCCACTGTTAGTATGAAAAGGTTAGCTTTCATTGATCAGAGATTTTTGTGTTTCTTCTCTCGTGTCAAGTGGTATAGTATACTGAGTAATACTGAGGTATAGCGTAGAGTTTTAGGAAAAGAGGGTAAGTCAGTTGAAGAGGCTGTCAGGGTGAATTGATTAAGATGTCTGGAACACATGTTGCACATGGCAAGACATCGCCTTCTTCGACGGGCAGTGTTAGGTGACATGGAATTAGATTGAGAATGGGTTAGGGCTAGTTAAACCAAAAAGTAGAATCAATCCATGAGGTCTTTGACAGTTGGTATGAGCCAGGTAGGAAGATGCAGGTTGCCTTGTTGGCGTTCCCGGGTTTTTAAGCGCTAACAGCTGGAGACTTTTGGTGATATAGTTCAAAATCAATCTGAGTGGTGCAAATGCATTCACTCCTATGGACCTCGCATATTTAATAAATTCATGTGTCTATTTTCCGCATATTTCTACTCATTATAGTTTTTTTCTCTTTATCTACCTTTGTGTGCTGCATGAAGTGTAGCAACCTGAACTGCTGAAGTTTGTTCAAAGTTCTGTGCTGAAACTTAATTAGTCAGCCAGTCGTTAGATATCTAACACTTGATACAGGAAGTCTGCTTTAACATGAGACGCAGAGATACAAACAATGATTACGTGAAAATGGTATTTATATAAGGTTTGTTCTATATGAGGTTTAAAGTAAGATGAGTAGTGATTATCCATTTTTACTGTTTAACATCAGATATAAAGCCTTTGTTAAAGCAAGGAGATTCACCTCCTTGCATGATTCATAAAGGTTGTATGCAGCAGATAACTTGGCAGAAACATGGTGCGAAATCAATTTAGGCTAAGAGTCACCTTTTATTCACTCCGTACGTTCTGCCATAAATTTTTGGATGTTTTATTCTAAAATCCATATATTCTTTATTTCCCATTCTTATGCTTTTTGTTTTCGAATAATAACTCAGGCAAATGCACTATAACAAACAGAGTTTAATTTATCCAATGGGATGAAGGACAGAACAAAATATACTTGGTAAAGGTCAGCCAATCATAAGCATTGCACCTTTTCTTTCCCCTCAACCAATCAATCGTTTCTAACTTAAATATATTCTTTTGTTCTATGGTTAAAGCGTATGACTGTATATAGTACTAGTACATTTGGTTGTTCTTTGTACCTAAATCTCATTCATGTTTCGATAATTTATAAAATGAATATGATAATGCTGGAAAAAACATCGAACATATTCTCGTATTCCCGGACATCTATTGCCAAAATACTATGTTTGATAATTTATCGTGTATTGTTTCTTTTATTCGATTTTCTGACATTCAGCTACCACAATACAAATGGACTAAGCTTGCAATTACCATTGAACACCTCAAATTCATCAGCATCACAATCAAGCAATCAGTCGTTGTATACGGAAAGTTTAATTAATAACGACACAAAAACATTCAGTGATAATAATCTCGAAATTAGTTATTTAAATCAAACTGAAGAAGCTGACGAAGAATCTTTCGTTAAGGGTAGTGCTGGTGTCTGGGTAATCAGTGTCATGAGTGGCACCTGTTTACTAACAATTGCATTTATTGTAAGAGGACTGTTTTCAAGAGCTGAAGCATTTCACGATCCACCAGAAAACTACCATGGGGCAGATTTAAACGGTGATTTAATGGGAGGTCATGGGTTTATTGGTGCTGGCGCTGGAGGAGCAGACATGGGTTTCCTAACAACGGATCTAGCGTGAGAATGGGATTCAATGAGATAATTCAAATAAAATCTTAGTTCTGGTTTTAAACACATCACTGTGATATGATATGTAGAACCGGTTAATTATTATATACATATATCTATGCATACATACTTATATGCATGTGTAGTATATAGATATAAGAAGAAGAAACAGACTGTTGATAAAAAAATCAAAATTTCAACATATACCTGTTGCATAATTTATGTTTTAAAAATTATATCCTTCATCAAGCAGAATCTTATATTCAGTAGTTGATTACTTATCGAAACACCAATTTAAACAATTTTTGCAAATTTTCGTGAATACAAAAGAAATAATTTGTAAACAGAATCGAAGATAAGACATAAATTATCATTCATCATTGTATATATAAAAAGAATGAACAATATCAACAGCTGTAATCGCTTTTTTCTCGATTGTTCTTCTCCTTTAAACGCATGATAAAAAACATTGTTTTTTCCCTACAGATGAAATCTGTGGAACAAATATATTTTTGCTACACTTGCATTTATTCCTATTTTAGTAACGTCAGAAAATGAATTCCAATCAAATGGGTAAGTTATTTTCAATGTATATATCACAGAGAGAAAAGAGAAATAAATTCTGTCATACATTCACATTATCCGATATCTTTGTTTTCTCTTTCTTGGAGGAGGGACTAAGCATCTACGCAGTGGTACTCTTAAAAAAATGTGAAGAGCTAAATTATGATTACTTAATTTCCGCAGAAACTTTAAGTATACCATGCTAACTTTTATACTTAAAACTATTGTAAAATAATTGGTAAAAGATAGTCTTCAATGATTGGTTTTATGATCCAGTTATAATTGTTACTTATTTATGAGTATGCGTCTAGAAAAAGAAAGATTCAGTCATCACTCGCTGTCACATATATCTTCCGGCTCTGTTTGGAATATTCATGAAGCATTTGTAAGACTCTTATGAATGTTAATTTTTATCTCACACCTCGAAATCCCTCCCTATCTACTGGTTTAATAAGTGAATTCGGTGCCTGGTGTACTCTGTCCCTCAAGGATTTTGATTATTTTATGTTTATAAGAAGATGCTCATGAAACGAAGTTTCTGTTGCATTCTGTATAGCTTCCAATTTACATTGCACATCATTATGTAGAGATTTCATAGTGATGGGTGAAGTACTGTCAAAATAAATAAAAATTGTTACAATTTTTAAATATACTTTCATTGACTGAAAAGTGATAGTTTAAGAATTGAAGATTAAGAATTGATTACCTGTGTCAAAAGACATATCATGGATTATCCCGAGTAATTATTTCAGATAGCATTTTATCGTCTTTGATGAAACACCGATATATCCCATCTTATTCACACCAAAAACTGTGAATGTCATAGCACTACATGATTAAAAGCAAGTGCATTCCTGAACCCGCGTTAGATATACCTAAATGTTTTGGTCAGTGGATTGTTTACTTAGAAGTCACTGAAACGCACATTGACGAACGTCCCGTGAAAAATCTAGTAATTTTAATTATCAAGTATTGGTTTTTGTAGGGATTGTGTTTGATTGGTTGGAGGATTTCCTCATGAGCTGACATCAGTGAGAGAACCATTGGAAAACCTGGGAGTACTGGATAGCTGCTTCGTCCTAGTTTGGGACTCTTCATCAGTAATATTATTTACTCTGTTAAATACTGTTTCGATTAAGACTGTCCATATAAAAGCACCATCGTTATCGGCTTTCAATGTAAAAATATGGAATAGATTTTCACGCAGATAGACAAATAACTAGGCATATTCTTAATATTTCAGAACTGCTGCTATGGTGTCAAATAGTGAATTAGACAGAAGTCATTTTCATCCGGTAATTTACTTTTGTTTTTAAAATGTTTGTCTGAGAAGAGAATGATCAATAGGTAAGAGGAATCTTGAGTTGAGATTCTGTTTTCAATAACTAATGTGTCTTTTTGTAATTTCATACATTTCTATGAAGAAACTCCCTTCCAACCGTTACACTACAATCTGTATCATCATAATATCCAACAGAAATTACCATTTTGTTGCATATTCAAGATACGAAAAGTGATAGTAAAGTGTATATTTAAAGCTGGATGTTTATCTAGCTTGACGAAGTGGGAATTACTGTTGACTACGGTTCAAAAGAAGAACGGAATGTTGTATTAAGAATGCTCTACTTGTTAAGGACATATTTCTTAACGAGTGGAAATCCTTTATTTTTTATCTTATTGCAAAAGAAGAGATCATTCCCCGATAGCTGCACAAACGCATTATTATACAAAGGAAGCAGATGAAGGTCAGATGGGTAATTAGGGTATACCATGAAATCTTAGAGACAATTTGGAATAAATAAAAGGATAGACAGAATCAAGATTTTATGCCATTAATTATGTATCTAACATAATCCACTTGGAAAGTTTAAAACAATAAACCAGGAAGGCGAAGCAGCATAAATTAGCATAACAATTATTGTGTTAATGACAATAAGGCCAAAGGGTTTACGCAGTTACTTTTGTCATCAATGTTTAAGAGGAATAGCAGTCAGATTAACTGTGAAACAATAGAACACGCAAGTGGCTACAAAGTGATCTTGAACGAGATTTCAGACTTTGAAATAATTCCTAAATGACGCTAATTCTCAAAAAATGATCTAATATTCCTCTTCATCGATTTCCTTATCCAGATAAAGTCCAGATATTTTTTGATTTAGTGTGTACTATAAGTGTTATTGCTTTCTTCTCGTTTTGATGCTCTGTATGTTAGTTTTAAAGTATCTTCACTTAACAGACAAACAGCTCCACTAACTATGACAATATCTGTCATTTAAAAAAAAAATTTCCTTCACGTTCCCCAGTGGAACATAGGGCTTCAAGCTAGAGGCTTGAAGTTTCTGTAGCAGTGCTTATTTTACAGGATGGGGTTGCTAGCCTCATGCCCAACCTTTCCTCTTTACCAACTTTATTTCTGACTTAACGGGGTAAAGGAGTGCGTCGGCCGGGGATCGAACCTCGGACCATGTGCATGGTCGGCGAGCGTCCTAACCACTACGCCACCGACGCACATATATAAGCAGCTAATAAGTTAATGTAAGATCTTTTGCTCAGCATTATCGTAGATTGTTTTAATAGAGTGACATGATGAAGAAACACCGTTTACATGATCTTGTTGACACTTAAAAGTTACTTAGCTTAGACTGAATATTTATAATGCAGTCTTTTTTCGGTAGACAAATTGGTTGATACGACAAAGGAAGCTTACCGTATTTCATGTTCTTACAAGTGTTTTCAGACAAGCGAACAGAGAATAGAACTTCACTCTCTCTCATCACTGTACAGACGAAACTTGCTGAATGAAATGATGATCTCTGAACTGTTACACCCAATTTTCCTAAACACAAAAGTAACTTCTGTAAAACCAGAAGACCAAATTAATACACTAGGTGCTTGTATTCAAAGGAAAACGCATGCTCTGATGCACAGGGAATCAAATAAACTGCACATTTTAGAAAACTCTTGGAAATTCAACTTCTTGTTATCATTATTAGCCAGCTCACAGTAGTTTATAGACGTGTACAAGGAAAAATGGCTAGCTATATTTACATTCAAGTGTTGATAAAATAAGAATACATTCAATTCTTATCTGTGAATCGTGCTGACATCACAGAGTTGCTGAATTCACAAAATGTTTATCTACACCTACCGTATAACTACTGATTACGTACTGACTTGGAAAAAAAGTAAATAGAAAAAATTTGATATACCCGTCAGAATTTATTGCATATTAGACTATATTATACCTACTCGTCAAGTGCTTGAAGACGCAAACACTGCTGTAATTTCATATATATGACATTGAAAATATAACTTGAAACGTATTCAGAAAAGTTTATTTAATTCATCTTTTTACTCCATTTTGCTGATTGTCGGTTTATAGGCTGATTTGGTTTCCAGAGTACTTGTTTCCCTTTCATTCGTACTATAAATCGATGCTACAGCTTTTCCTACTTTAAGGCAATAAACATATCCGTTGTCATCAATGCATCATGCTGTTATTTTCAATTTTGCATAAAGCCTTAATTGATTTTGGTAATTTCACCTGCGTAGGCAGTGACCTGAAACAAAAGTCTGAGAGTTCATTCATTATTTGTTTGCCAATAGTTTACTGAGAATTTCGTTACATTCTACACATTATTTTTTAATTGCATAAATGAACAAGTTAAAAATTGCGAGTGAAATAAAGTGTTTGATGAAATTGTATTAAACTGCACTTTTTTCCAATAAACTAAAAGTCACACTTTGTGTTTTTCGCATTACTTGTTTTAACGAATAGGTTGGATTGCATAAAACAGCACATAATGAACTGCACTCGTGATTTTTTTCTCTACTTTCATCGAATTGAATAATGTAAACAACTGTTAAGTGCTTCGTGTGCTTTGTTTTCCGACAGTCAACATTTCATAATTGGCACTATCAAATATCAAGTCCCGAAGTTCTCTAGACATTTATTTGTTTGATCATGAATAATGATTTCCTCTCTTAGGAATTGAGTGTACCTTTATAGTTAATAGTAGTTTTGGATAGTTAACAACTTCTGCAACGATGATAGTCTCAGTAGTGTTCACTATACGGTTGCTGACCAACAGTTTCCTGTAGTGACATTCTCGTGAACCATTCTAACTTGATGGCTTAACTCAGTCACTAACACTGTGAATAGTGATGATGTTTTCAGCATACTGACTTATTATTTAGCTTCTTCTCTTCCTCTTCCTTGGCATATAAAATTCAGTTAACCACCTATCCAACATCTTATTTAATGAAATTTAAGAATTATACCAGTACAATGATTTGAATATTTTTAATTAATTTCTAGGACCGATTGACACAAGGCTCCAAACAATATGCGTATATGTTAATATTAGTAATACTAAGGTAGATAAAATAAATTAGCACTAATTGTCTGAAACACACCCTTATTTTATTCCTGTCAGGTACACAATAATG